GTGAGTAAGGGCTGCCCAGGTAAGAGACGAGGTGTGAAGGAAAGCTGGTCCTGGCAGAAGAGTAGGACCAGTAAGCCCCAGAGGTGAGAAACAGAATGATGTCATTCGGGGGCCTCCTTTTGAAGCAGGAGACAGAGAGGGGAGGAGATGAGGCTGGGCAGGCATCAGAGACCCCTGATCATGGAGCCTTGAGGGACAGGAGAGCACTTGGGAGCCACTGAAGGTGGAGGTGGGAGGTGGAGCCTCCAGGGACCGCAGCCAGGAGGATGGGGAAGAGGAGGGGGAGATGGGAGGCAGATAGATCAGAGAGGAGGCAGAAGCCTAGGAAGGAAAATTGGGGGGGGAGCATCTCAAAAAAGGGTGGGAGGGCTGAGATGTGAGAAACATTTAGGAAATAAGTGGTCAGGCCCGGGTGCCTGGCTTGGAATGTCAGGAGCAGCTCCCGGTGTCTATCGGGGGTGGCGGCTCAGACGGCCCTGGAGAAGGAGTGGGTATGATTTGGCCTTTCTGCAGCGTGTGGCAGGTCCATGTGGAGATGTCCAGCAGCTCATTCGATGTTTAATCTAACACCTGGGGAGGAGGTGTAGTGATCACACGTGCTCCGTGGAATGTGTCAGATGAATGAATGAATGCATGCATGCATGTGGACCAGGTCATCACTAAGTCCGTGAGGCTGGATGAGGTGGTGAGGGATGCGGTGTGCACCCTGGAGGCTGGCCGCACTGCTCCAATTGGCTGGGCAGGGGCGGGTGGCAGCCAAGTGTGGTGCAGGCTGGAGGAGCCTTGCTCAAAGTTCCAGGAATGTGTCCCAACAGGTGGGCCATGAGAAAAGGCGAGGAGGAAAGCACTGAAGTCGAGGGAGCCGGCTAGGTTCAGATCCAAGAAACATTAACATCAGCAAACAGTTTACTCGGTTTCAAAGATGCAGGTGTGGACGTTTGGCTTGCACAGAACAGCTTCCCTCCGACCCTCAGAGACCAACTGCCTGGCAGGCCCCGATCAGGGGAACCTGAATAGGTTGTCTGTGAAATCTAAGGAATCTGTCTGACCCCGGGATCCTTCATCATGTCTGCTGGCTCTTCCCAGGAACCCCAGCGGCTCTCGGTGTGGGCAGGACCTGCGGGTCCCCTGGGAGCTGTGACAATCCTGATAACCAGGCTGTAACCTGGGGGAGGCCAGGGCAGCAGCATTTTAAAAAGCTCCTCAGGTAATCCGCACTGGCAGAAGCAGCATGCACATCACGGGTAGCTCGTTAGAAATGCAAATCTCAGACTCCGCCCTCGACCAGCTGAATCAGCACCTCGGGAAGGGGGTGGGGAGCGGGAACCCAGCAATCTGTGGCTTAACCAACCCTCCCGGTGATTCTCCGTAAACTTCGGAGGCTCATCACCTCAGACTCAGGAGGTGTGAGGCACAGGTGGTGCCTGTCAGTAATCTGACACATCCGAAAACAACCAGCTTAACAAGACGTATTTTCTTTAAAAACAATTTTTGAAAAAAAAATTTTACTCTCGTTGATTAATCTCCCAGGTCCAGGCAACTCTACAGGTTGGGCTGTTCTCCCTTATTCAATCGGAAAGCATCCCCACTCTGACGGAGGCATTGCTCAGCAACCCATTCTTTACAGTCTGGGGCCTGAAGCCCTCCTCATTCCCCAGCACAAGGCTGGCACCTAGTAGGTGCTCACTAAGCAGAAGTTTCTTCCCTTCCCTTTTTCCTTTGGAATTTTTAGAGCCCTGTCGTACACATACGTCCTCCTGCTGTTTTGATTGGTATTGAAATTAGTTGCATAGCCCAAGTGCCCTGCGTGGGGGTGGCCAGCTGGCCAGGGATTAGGAAATACTGGGTCTTATCCAGTCGGGGCTGGTTGAACTTTCTTTAAAACCTCTGCTGAGGCATCTAAAGGGAAGTGTATGGTGTGGGAGGCAGATCACATGGATGATTTTATTACATCTCTGCAAAATGACCTGTTCTATTTCCTTGATTCTATGACACAAGAGACTTACCAAGAGTTTTGTTGGGGAGGAGGTTTGGTGAGCAAAAAAATACAGGCATATTATGGGCATACATCAATTATAAAATGCATTTTATTTTATTTTTTTTTTAAGTCTTCACCCCAGGACAGTCTTTCACTGCTTTCTAGAAAGAGAGGAAGGAACACGCAGAAACATCGGCTGGCTGTCTTCCACATGCGCCCGGCCCAGGGATGGAACCCAAAACCTAGGTATATGTCCTGACTGGGAATCGAACCCACAGCCTCTCAGCTATGAGACGACACTTCCATGCTCCAACCAACTGAGCCACACCAGCCTGGGCAAAATGCATTGTCTTTTAGGAATGTGAAAAATGTGTATTTGTCTCAGAGGCAACGAAACAGAATTTTCCTATGAACAATGACTGCAAGGAATCATGAGAAAATACAACAGAGTGTGCTTGTGGGTTACAGGCTGTACTTGGGTCTTTCAGGTCTGAACGTGGGGTTTGTGTAATGATTAAAAACTCAAATTTACCCAGGGAAAGTAATCCCACTAGCCACAGTAGCCACAGAGTCTCCTGGGAGAGATGTGATAAGACATGGCCCCTGGGAAATATGCTATCACTCGGCCCTACCTCCTAGGACCAGCATTCGGCCCCGGCGCCACCTCCGGTAAGCCACTCCGGGCCTCAGCTTCTCCGCTTGCAATGGTAATCACGACCGGCTCTGCCTGACCTGGATCATGGCTGGCGAGAGAATGAAACACAGGGGCTGCTGATGGGGAGAGCAGCTAGAAATCCTAATCCATTTAGATCGGGAAGGGGGTGTTTCTGGCCCCCCACCCAGAATCCCCAGCCCGCAGCTCTGGTGGACCCTCTCTCCGCAACACAGGGCACAGCGGACCCCTCCTGCTTCCAGAGAGGCCTCACCTTATTTGCTGGCACAAACGCAATGCCTTACTGTTGCCCAAATCCCAAATTCACCGGTGCCTGGAAATGCAGTCCGCACAGAACACGCTGTGACACCCTGGGTGTGACCCAGGGGTAGCCCAGGGGCCCGAGATTCTCCCCACTAAGCTCTTCCCTTTTGTAGGAAACCATTTTCCAGAAGAGGCCTGATAAAATGCAAAGGTGTTATTTTAGGAAGATCAACACTAAGATTTAGAACATATGTGAGAGCCCACAGATCGTCCCAGCCTTCACAGGGCTTTTGAAATGTTTGAACTTCCCACAAAACAGCCACAATCCTTTTCATTCCTGTGGCTACTCTCCGGGGTGTGGTGGGAGCGGACGTGGCAGCCTCCGCAGGGGCTGCCGGGGCCCCAGGGCCCGGGGAGGGATGGCAGAGAGCCGGCCGTTGCCGGCCCCGGCCGTGGGCTTCCTGCAGCAGCCTGCGTTGGAGCATTTAGGGACCAGAGGCAGCGTCTCGCCCAGATTGTGAAGGCCAGCACGTTTTACACCTCCAACGTCAGAGTGGGGAGCCTTTCCAACCCAAAGAGGGAGAGGAGCCAGCTTGCACCTTCCCCCACCTGTTCAGCAGCGTTTGCTGAGTAACTGCTTTGTGCCAGGTGCCCTCTAGGGGACCAGTCGTCTCATTTAATTCCCTCGACAGCCCAAGCAAGCAGCATTATTGTCCCCATGCCAGATGACTAAACTGGGGGGGGGGGGGGCAAGGTCACAGCAGGGCTCCTCTTTAAGGAAGCCGTACCCCCATTTCTCCCCTCTGTTCCCGCAGGCTGGCCGGGCCAGGGAGGAGGTTGGTGGCCTGTGGTGGGACTTGCCCACTCATTACCCTCCGGTGCCTGGGCTGTTTTGCACTCTTGGGTTGGGGTCAAAGTCTCCAAGGGCCCCTTGGCCGGGGCTCTGAGCCCAGTGTCACTCAGCGACAGAGGTGGGGCTGGAGGACTGCATGGACTTGCCTGGGCATGCCCCAGGCGGGAGAAGGGACAGTCGAGTGGATGGGCCTGGCTGTCCGCCAGGCCCCGAGCCTCTCCACAGGGTGCCTTTTAAGAAGTTCCCAAGAAACACACATGTTTATTGGGACTCCTCTGCTTACAAAACTTGTATCTTGCAGAAGAGAAGGTACAGAAAATATGGCAAAGGTGTTTAAAAGTCACCCACGATGCCACCAGCTAGAGAGGACCCCTGTTAGGGAGTGTACTTTCTCAGTCTTCCAAAGGGATGGTAAATGTGAATTACAGCTAGATTTTATTCTTCTATGAGGGCAGGGATCCCAGGTATCTTGTGTTCTTTTTTTTTTTAAGGCATTTTTTAAAAGATTTTATGTATTTATCTTTAGAGGGGAAGGGAAGGAGAGAGGGAGAGAAACATCAATGTATGGTTGCCTTTTGTGCGTCCCCTGCTGGGAACAGGTCTGCAACCCAGGCATGTGCCCTGACTGGGAATCGAACCGCAGTTGTCTGGTTCACAGACCCGTGCTTAATCCACTGAGCTACACCAGCCAGGGCTTGTGTTCTTTTTTTATCCCTCTCCATCTTTTTTGGCTTGTTTGGAGACTTTTTTTTTAAAAAAATATTTTCTAGTGTGTAGCACAGACTTCAGGAAATACTTGTTCAATGAAAGAATAGTAGGCAGGGCCCAGGAACGGTTGGGGCCAGAGCCCTGGCTGGCTTCAGGCGCTCCCAGCCCTGGACTGAGAAGTCCTGTCGCCATTCACTGTCCAGTTCCTGGAATCCCTGGCATGTATTCAGCCCATATCCAACGTCACTGGTGTTTGTTGACCTTGACTTTGAATAGGCAGGAGACGCAGGTGCAGAAGTCAAGCTCGAACTCCGCTGGGGTCTCAGTCTGCTCCTGGAGTTCCAGGCAGAACAGAACCCCAGATGAAAGGAAGGGGGGGCTCCCCGCCCTGAGCACGCTCAGAGGTTACGGAGGGGACAGAGCTGAAGGAACCAGTCTTCAAAGACAGCAGTGGGGGTGGAGGTCGGACACCAGGAAGCTGTCAGCTGGGAGAACAGAGGCTCTGAGACGCCAGCAAAGGTCACGGAGTTTCTCTTCCTGGAAGCTTCCAAGGAGGTGGGGGAAATCTCTGTGGAGTGGGGCAGCAGCCAGCCCCACCCTGGCAGGGGGAGGGACCAGGGACATCAGGAGCCCTTCAAGAGAGTAAGGAGGCTGGGGCAGGCAGTGCACAGGGGAGGGTAGGCAGGAGGGCGGAGTGGGGGAAGGGCATGGTTTTCCTCACTAGGCAGGGCTCACCCTGCCCTTGGGAGGGGCCTGGTGTGTGGGTAGATGGTGGCTGGCTCACCCACCTTGGCTCGCCCCCCCTGAGATCTGGGAACTAGTGGGAGGCTCCGGACAGAGCTGGCCCACTCCACAAAGGTGCTGCAGGATTCTTCCTGGAAAACCAGCAGGAGGAGGAAGCTGGTGCAGCCAGGCTGCCGGCCAGTGCAGCCGGCCGGTGCAGCCGGCCCCCGCCAACAGGAGGCCCCAGGGAAGGGCCTCGGACCCTGGGTTTGGATCCCGACTGCCACGCCTACCTGGGTGACTGCGAACAAGCACAGACTTAACCTCCCTGAGTTTACGTATCTTCCACCGTGAAATGGGGATAAAACAACAACAAACCCAAACAGCTTTCCTCTGCTCACCTTCCCCCCTTGGGGTCGCAAGACGAATTAGGCAGAGGGGCCTGACGTATCTAGCTGTTCAATAAACCTCACCCCCCCCCCCCCCCAACGATGGTTCTCAAAATTGACTACACACCTGGAGACGCGGCTAAGCCACAGTTCTTCCTCGGCCCCTTCCAAGCAGGTCTGTGGTGGGCCTAGATTTGCCTTTTCACAAGACCCAGATGTTTCAGAGGTGGCAGCACCCCAACACAGAACTAAAAAGGTTAAAGGGTTGTTCCCAGGCAGGGGTCCTGAGCAGGAATGCAGGGTCTCCCCAACCTCAAGGCCTTGGCCACCAGCTCAGGAGACCTGGCCTGGGCCCCACCCTCCCCAGAGCACGCCGGGGCCTTGTTGTGAGCTGCTGGTTGCTGGGATGCGGTGTGGGCTTTGGTCTGCCTTCCCCACCCCTTGCCAACCCGCCCAGCAGGCCCCACTGCCTTGGCAACACATTGCAAAGTCCACACAAAGGGAAACTGCAAGGGGAGGCTGGTCCTGCCTACGCTGGGAAGGAGTTTCCATGGCAATGCTGACATCACCAGGCTGGGGCTCTGCAGAGCCAAGCCCTAAATGGAGGTGCCTGGGTGTTCCCACTGCAGCCTCAGGAGGAGGGTGACCCAGGGGCCCCGCTTGATTCTGGGGTGGCCTCCCCTGGTCACAAGCCCCATGCAAATCTGGGTTCAAAACGCAGCCCTGCCTCTGACTCACCAGGTGACTTTAAGCAGGCAACGGGGCCCGAGACTGTTTGTCTATAAAGTAGAGCTAATGATACTTGCCTTGCAGAGGGTGAAACAAAGTCACACATGTGGACAAGTGCATAGTAAATTGTGAAGACCTATTCTGATGGTGAGAGTCAGCTTCGGGTTACTTCCAGGGGAGCCCCCCGACTGCTGGGACCCCTTGATGTGGGTGGGATCCAGGAGAGGAGCTGAGGATTAGGGGGGAGAGGGCACAGTTACCCATCCACTCCCCCTGGGTGAGGGCAGGGTGAAGCGGTGCCATGCGGTGAGGAGAGTCGCAGAATGGGGCAACTGGGGGGCCCCGGAGGTGGCTCAGGAGTGTTCTGGTTTCATGCCCTGGGTTTGCTGATGAGGATTTGGGGGCCCAGGGAGCTGGTGTGACTGGCCTAGTCAAATCCTGCATTATGATGGATGTTGACAAGGGTGCCCTGTGCCCAGTGTGGAGCCCTGGGGTGGCGCCACCTCTGTCCTTCACACAGAGGGAGTCACTCTAACTGCTGCCAGAAACTAACCTTTAGAAGCACAAGGTGGGAGAGGGTATGACTGCCTGAGATCAGTGGAACTTAGGCTGGAGTCCACCCAGGTGTGCTGGGTTGAGGGGGTTGGGGGGGGGGGGAGGTGGACGAGAAAGGCCACACCAGCTTCCTCTCTGCTGCCTCCGTCCTGGGGGCTCTTCTCAGGGTCTGGGCGGCCTGTGCGGAAGGTTTCCTCAGTCATTTCCTGTCCCAAGCTCTGGCTAAGGGGCTCGCTCTGGTCTCCAGCAGTGCCCCCAGCCCTCCCTGGGCCTCAGCCATGGCCAAGGGCAATTCTAAGAGGACTCAGGCCCCTCAGAGCTTGCTGCCCATCCAGCACATATCTCCACCCCTTCCACTCTCTCCCCTCCAGCCTGTTCACGTCCCCCAATGTTCAAAGGAACTGCTAAGGCCTCTTTCTACCCACAGAGGCTCAGCCTACGCTCTGCCCCCCATTTTGCCAGACTATGCTCAGCTTTCACCCAGATACTCACACCCAGGCCTCCCTCTAGCCCAGGAGACCTCTTGAGGGCCCTCAGCTCCCTTTGGGGGAGGGCAGACTCCCCACCTGGGTCACACGTCCACCTCTCGGGAGGCTCCTGTGAGTTCTAGACAGCCATTCGGACCTCAGTGTGCCGCGCTCGTGTTGGGAAGGCTGCAGCCCCTCTTCTGTCTCTCCTCCCCCTCCGGACTCCCCTCCTCCCGGGGAGGGGGGAGGGCCAGGGCCTGCTACTGGGGGGGGGGGCGGCGCTGTGCTGCCCAGCAGCCTTGCTAGGAGCTCAGGAAGAAAAGGAAACTCTCCAGGGCCCCGTGCAAGGCCCCTCCAACCCCGGGGTAGCAGGGGGAGGAGCTTATCTCATGCAAGCCCTGGCCAGGCCCAGGGTCCCCACAGACACTTCACCCTCGGTGGCCTTGAACTGACTTGTGTTCACCAGGCTATAGCCTTCTGCTCAGTTGGACTGCAACCTGCCACTGTTTGTCTGCAAACCGGTTCTGTAAGAGCGGCTGCAGTCCCGTGTCCCGGGGGTGGTGAGTCGCCCACCAGGGTGCCCTTGAGGAGACAGGCCTGTGGGAATAGGAAGTCTGGAAGGTGTGGGGAGAAGGAACAGCCCTTCTGAGGTAGAAGTCCAAGGCCCCCGCAGCGGAACGTGGTGCCCGCTTGAGACACACTCTCCCCGGCAGGAGAGCACCCCAGTTTCTTCTGCAGTGGTCTGGCCCTGTCCAAGGGTAGTGGTGGGACTTGGGACTCCGGGACAGCTGTCCCAATCGGAGGGAGGAATTGGTCAAAGGTTGGGAGCACCTGGCAGGAGGATCTCTCCTTCCTCACGAGGTGACAGGCTTTCCCTTGGCCCCCTCCCTACAGGAGGGCCGGCCCGGCGTTGGGCCTGAGGCCTAGTGTCCCTTTCCCAGAACACACTGGGGCGGAGCGGAGCTCATTGGCCACCTACTCCGTCTTAGTGAGGCTCCCAGAGCTGGCTGAAGGCCTTTTAACACTCTGGGGGCTCAGTTCTTGACTCTGGCTTGAGCATGCTCAACTCAGCCAGGCACCTGTTTCAACGATGGTTTTGCAGGAAAAGCAGTCAGCCTCGGGGTGGGGAGCACCCCAGCTGCGGCCTGCCGAGGGCTGCTGTCCTTGGCCCTCTCCCCGTGACCCTGGCTTCCGCCGCCCACTGACTGTGCAAATTCCTCCTTAGAGCACCTCTGGCCCAGGCACAGCGTCCAGCGGCCCCGGGGGAGCAGGAGCCAGCTGCTGAGGGGGAGGACACCGCGCTCTCCCCTGAGGGGTCCTGGGTCCTCCCTCTCCAAGTGCCTGTCCTCTCCAAGACAAACCCCTGTGGGTCCTCAGCCCTCAGCAGACCTGCGCTCAGACCAGAAGCACGGCCTCCCGGGCTCCTCTCCCGGGATTTCTGAGCAGGTCTGTCGCAAGCTCGGCAGCCGCAGGCCAGCCTGTGTCTGGGCTGGCGTCCAGAGGCCTGGCCTCCCTCAGGCTGACCCGCGACACTTTCAACGAGGGCCTGATCTCGCTGATTCAGTTGCTGTCTGTGAAACCGGCCCTGCTTACAAAGAAGGCTGTGGTGGGGGCCGATGAGAGCCCACGTGCCTGCTGGGTCACGGGGCAAAGTGCTGAACAGAGGGAGGACGGCCCCCACCCCATCACACAATCGAGGGGATCGAAGGCTGACAAGGACATCTGACTCAGCTGGAAATACCAGCGATTGGGAGGCAAAGCCTCCCCGTCCCCCCACCCCCCAGCCCGGCCAGCTCTGCCCTTCTGGCTCAGTCACATGGAGTCGGGTCCGCGTTGGGCCAGGAAGGCCGGTGACTCACAGTGAGGTCACACTCCTCTTGGCCTCCATGGCTTGTCCTGTAAAATGGGTGCAGAGGCTCTCGGTTAAGCAACATCCCGATGAAAGGCCCTTGATGGCTGGGAAACTCTGTTATTACCATTTCCACCCCCTTCGCTCTTACTCATCCGCCTGGAAGATGTCAGAAAGGAAGAGATGCTGGAGAAAAAAAGACAGAATAAAGGAAAGAAGCTTCCCTCGCAGTCCCGCACCCCAAGCCAGCTGAGTCTCACACTGGCTGGTTGTCTGAGCTGGTGGCCCCTTCCCTGTCACTTTTCACACACGGCCAAAGGCAAGTTACCAGTTAACCAGCCCACGGGAAAGGGGGGCAAACTCCACAGACGGCAAACCAGCAGGGCCTGTTTGCCGGGATGAAATGGCCCCACTGCACCTGGTCCATGGCTGCCCTTCCACAGCCCTCTCTCCACCTGCTGCCATGCCCAGCCCAGCACGGTGACCTCGGCAAGCCCTCTAACCTTTCTGAGCTTTGGGGGACATGGGGGGACATGGGGGGAGGGGCCACTAGGAGAAGCTGAGATGGGGGCTTTGGGGGGAAACGCGCAGACATTCTAAGGGGTGAGTAGGCAGTGTCCCCCAGGCTGGCCAGACAATTCAGAGCAACCCATGGGGCATGGGAGAGGTGGGCTGGGATGGGAGCTTCATGGAGAACCGAAGAGAGGGAGGTCCCCAAAGTCTACAGACTGGGGGGACATGGGAACCAGGGAGGGGGCAGTTCCCAGTCTCCTTCCTCTGCCCTCCCACAGCCAACATCAAGGTCAAGTCTCCCATTTGGATTCCTCCCCTCAGGGCCCCCATATCTGATACTCTATAGGTACAATCGATGCTATTGAATGCTTACTGGATACCTGGCTGGCTCTGCTCCCTCTCCCCAGAAAACCCCGCCCCTGGTCAGGTCAGCACTCGGACCCCTGGACTAGCAGAGCAGGAAGGTTCTTCCGGATTATGGGGCAGCTGACGGAGGGTGGAGAGAGGAGCTTACGTTTTATTTTACCCGCCCCCCCCCCCGCAATTCTATGCCTGAAGTGACAACAGATTACATACTTTTACCCTTCTTAAAGTTTTAAATAAATTGAAGTTATAGAATAGCTCAAAGAGCCCTGGCTACTGTGGCCATCCTGCAAACGGAAAGGTCACCAGTTCGACTCTCTGACAGGACACCAGCCTGGGTTTCGGGGTTCACCCCTGGTTGGGGCACAACTACTGATGTTTCTCTCCCTCTCTTTCTTCCTCCCTCCCCCTCTCTCTGAAATAAATAAATAAATAAATAAATAAAGGTTAAAAAATAGCTCAAACATGCAGAGAAGTACAGAGTAATGTCTCAGGTAGCTACATGCCCACCACTAAGCTTGAACAAATGTTAGCATCTTGCTATATTTTCTTTAGGTCTCCTTTGGTCAAAAAGTTAAATGTCAGTAAGAACCAAAATTCCATACCTAACCCAACTCCTTCCTCCCCTTTCAGAGGAGGCTACTAACTTGAAGTCACGGCTTTAGCACATGTGTATTTTTATACTCTTATATATAGGGATCCATAAGCAACCTACAGTGTAGTTTTGCGTGTTTGTACAATGAAGTGTGAATACATGGGCTGGGGACCAACGCTGGGTGCAGGGTTTTCCACCCAGTTCTCCAGGGCTTCCAGGGAGGGTGAGGGAGGAGGCAGTGCCCAAGCTGCTCACGCTCTTCAAACGGAGCAGGCCTCTCTCCTCTAACTTATACCAGGGGCTTCTGTCTGAGGTTCCTGTCCATAATCACCTCTCTGTTTGGAAGTCACAAATGGAAACCCTTCCCCTGACAGAGAATGAGAATAGGGCCCAGAGAGGGGTGGTGACTTGCTCCAGGTCGCACAGCAGGCTGAGTGGCAGAGCCTTCTGGTGCCTGGCCCAGAGCTCTCCGATTCCCCACAGGCCTCCCTTCTTAGACAAAGGGAAGGGAGCTGGCCACCCAGCCCCAAAGGCCAATTTGCTCCTGGGTCTGGGAAAGGCAAAGGGGTCTGGAATGGAGCCTCTCAGGAAGCCCAATGACCGCCCACCTGGGGAGTGGTAGGGTACAGGGGAAGCCCCGAGGCCCCACAGGCAACCAGGAGCCGGCAGTGGGCGGCGGCCGAGCACCGGGAATGGAGCTCCTCCAAACCGAGGGGTGGACACGAGTGAACTAGACCGGGGGTTTTGAAGATTTAGTACAAAAGAGACGGTACAAGATCTCATTAATTTTTGTATCGGTTACATGTTGAAATGATAATATTCTGGATGGGCTAGGTTAAGCCAAACATCTGCCTAAGATTAATTTTACCTGTCTTTTTTTCACTTTTTAAAAATGTGACCGCTAGCCCTGGCCAGGTGGTTCGGTTGGTTGGAGCACCAAAAGGTTGTGGGTTCAATCCCCAGTCAGGGCACACACCTGGGCTGTGGGTTTGATTCCCCAGCTGGGGTACGTACTGGAGATGACTAATGGATGTTATTCACCTCGGTGTTTCTCTCTCTCTAAAATCAATAAACATCCTCAGGTGAGGATTAAAAAAATGTTGACTACTGGAAAAATCCGAATTATGTGTGTGCTGGCAACTATGTTTCTGTTGGACAGCGTTGCCCGACGTCTTATGACCAGCAGCCAAAGGCAGAGCAGCTGGACCTGGGGCTGGAGGAGGAGGAGGGGCCCCAGGGGCCCGGAGCTGGGGGCTCCTTTCAGAGCTCTGTGTGGGCGCTGGCAGTGATCAGGAGGGATGAAACAAGCAAGCGCCCCCTCCGCACACGTCAGGGGCTCCTCTCTGAGACCCTCCCTCCTCTGCCTGGTCTTCCGAGATCCAAGCTCGCCCTTGTCTCTGTCCTTGAGAGCCAAGTCTGAGTCAGAGTAGACTGTCTCCACCTGGCATTTCCATTCTCCCCGCAGCCTGCACAGAGCTGGGGAGTCAGGTTAGAGTGAGCGCCCTCTTCCAGATCTCCGGGCTCCCTTTTCAGTGAGGAGGACAGGGGTCTTTTCTGCCCCACCCATCTTTCCTGCCACAACCGAGTTGAGTACTGGGGATGGGCTTTTCCTTTTCCTTTTGAACACCCCTCCGCCCCAACCACTTGACCTTGGGGAGAAGGGTTTGGTGGTCCAGGGTGGACTGCAAAGACTCCCACCGGGCAGCAGGCGTGCTCTGGGGCTCCTAGGGGCAAGAGGGGCCACTGAAGAGCCTGAAGCTCTCTGGACCCAGCAAGTCTCCAGTCTGGCATTGTGGGAGATGTCCAGCCCACCCCTGGGGGACCCCTGCCAGATCTGTCTTCTCCTGCACCATCACGCAGGTCTGTGATGCCAGCCAATTATTCTGTCTTCCCCGGAGCTGGCAAAGCATGACACTTCCCTATTGGAAATTCTCAGCTATCTCTCTGTGCAGCTGGGATCTGTCAGCCAGCAGCTTTTCTCTGTGAAGGTAGGGGTGAGGAGTAGGGGGAGGGGGGGCAGCAGCGCCTATCAGAAAATGAGAAAAATGCCAGGCGCTTAAGTGTGTGTGACAGATAGCAACCTTTTCTTGCCATGGGGGAAATGGAATCCTGGATGTAATGACTTCGGAGTTGTCAGCGTTTGGGGGAAAAACACCCAGCACCCTCCGCTACTACCAAATAATACAAATGCACCTAGTAAAACACTCAGATAATGCAAAAGTCCCCAGAGCTTTCAAAAGATTGACACGTTTCACCCTTCATCGCTGGCTTTGGCAAATCCAAAGGGGGCACTCCCTCGCCCCGGTTCACTTTGCTCTGAGGAGTCAAAACAACTGCATTTTATAAGACACCTCTCTGGAAATGTGCCTCCTCATCTAGAAGAGTCGTCACCAGAGGACTGTGCTCCAAAAACCGCAGACGATGAAGAGTGAGCCTCCGTCTTGAGAGTTCACTGTTTTTAATCAAATAAAACCTGCAACAAAGTTAATTTGACACATAGTTAATGAGATAATCATTGTTGCGCTTCATGGGAATTAGGCATTAATGGGAAGCAGTTTTTATAAATGATGGTAATTATACTGTTGCCTTTCCTCAGCCAAAATTTAAAAGTTTTTTTTTCTGCCTGTTTGGTTACTTCCGTTGCCTGGGCTGTCAGTCTCCGTGACACAGAAGGTTCCTGTGGGTTTCTGGGCCCTTTCGTCACTGGGGCCGCCCCACCCTGCCCTCACCCGGGTCACAGGCAGGTGGCAAGGTCTTGTGGAGCACCGACCCTGTGCCTCTGTACGGAACACTGGGCTCCATTCTCTCCTGTAATCCTCACAAGAATCCCCAGAAATGGGTATTTTTAGCTCCTGGTTCACAAAAGAGAAGCCTGAAGCTCAGGGCGATCAGGCCGCCCTCGGTCACAAGAAGCAGGAATGAGGGGACCTGGGCAGCATGGCCCTGACGCTGCAGCAAACCCCAGTGTCCCCGTCCCTGGCTGCTCTCCGAGCCAGCCTAGCTCTCTCCCTGCTCCCTGGGGACAGCCAGACCTGGGCAGCTGAGGGCAGTGGACACAGTGGGCTCTGTGCCTGCGCAGGGGACAGAGCATGGTCTCCGGGCTGCGGCGGGTGGAAAGGGTTCAAAGGCAGCTGCATCCACATGAACCGAAGTGTAAATCCCAGCGACTCCTGCACTCATCCTGTGACCCTGGGCGTCTCAGACCCGCCTGGGCCTTGGCGTCTTCACCCACCAAGTGGGACAGTTCGGGGTGCCCATGCTGGTCCAGTGAGCTGATCTCTGTGAAGCCCTGGGGTGGGGGTGAGTGTGAACAGGCCCCTTCCCAGGGCGGCGTCCAAGTGGCAGCAGGCACCAGAGGCACAGGGATTCGGGGATGGCAAGAACGTATGGGAGACGGCACATTGTCCACAGAGCTATGTGACTGGGGACACCCCATGGGTGCAAACACCACGGGCTCTTGTGGGGACGCGCTGTATGGAGGTCAGTCCAAGTTTCACGAGCCAGGAGAACCCCCACCTCCATTCCAACTCTCCCCTAAATACCTGAAGTCCCCTCTGCAGTGCTTTGGAGCCACTCTTGGTTAGGAAAGGGTTAACCCCCAGTGTCTAGCCGGGGCCTGAGGGTCAGCCAGCAGGAAACCCCAAGTGAAAAGGCAACAGGACAGAGAGCCTGCAAATCCCTCCAAGGCAAACTGCTGCCATCTTACCACGCTGCCCTGGGCCCGCCCCCTTTGCCGTCACCAGCAGGGGACAAAGAGAGGTTGCGTGCAAAGGTACTTAGTGTTCTGCGGCTGGGGGCCCCTGGGAAGCTCTTGTCACCTGGCCAGGTGGGGATCCCAGGGCAGGACCTAAACCACCAGGGTCGTGGGCGGAGCCCGTCTGAGCAGAGCCTGTTGTAACACCCGGAGAAACCTCTGCCCTCCGGCCCCGGGCCACAGGGGTCACCAGGGTAAAGGGCCACCTGGGGCCCTTGGAGTCCTTCTCGGCCAGCCCAAGCCACGGATCACGAGGCTGGGTCTGGGCTTTAGAGTCAGGCACACTTGGGACCGGGTTCCACCTCTGCCCCCTTTCAGCAGCAAGACCCAGTAGCAGCGAGCTACTTATTCCCTCTGAGATGCAGTTTCCCCATCTGAGAAATGGGGCTAGTTGTTGTGGCTGCTGTGAAGATAGATGCATGTGCTCTGACTTGCACGCTCTGCCCAGTGGCTGACTCAAAGGAGGGCTCTGTCAGTGCCAACCATTCATAACTACAAGAAGCACAAGGATAATTTCTTCCAGAAATACCTGTCGAGCGTGTGCGACAGGACCGGCGCTGCTCTCGGAGACATGAAGGTATGTCTGACAAGTCCTGCCCCTCCTACAGGACACGCGCAGGAATAATGCTAACTGAAGTTTGAGAGTGCTGAGTGATGTGAGAGAGGTGTGTCAGAACAAGCATTCAGGGAAGGCTTCCTGGAGGAGGCAGCATTTGAGCTGGGCTTGGGCAGGTATCTAACTGTGGAGGTGGGGGAAGAGAGAAAGGAAGAAAACAAAGGCCACAGAAGTCTAAGGCACAGGGTAAGCTCTGTGTGGCTTGAGTACAGCATCCAACAAGGGCCCGAGGGAGCAGCCAGTCTGCGGGTGAGGGAGAGCGGTTCTGTCCCCTGAGCCTTGCCGGGTGAACCTTGAGCCAGCCACTTCCTGTTTCTGAGTCTGATGACCAGTTGGTTCCTCATCCCCCCTCTGAAAACCTCAGTTATCCCCTACATTTCTCCGCATTCTCCGTCTTCACAGGCTGAGTCTCTGCACGGCACTCACTAAAGGTTTTGATCAAAGCTGGAAGGGACCAATTACAAGCAAAGCGGAAAAAACCCTCTCTGGCTTCAGTGTGGGGGTGGGGATGGGAGGATGGGATGGCCATCACCTTGGCCCAGAAGGGATGAGGAGAAGGTGGGGAAGGTTATGGGAGGAGGGGACAACCCTTCACACCTGGATCCCTCACCTGGTGATCTTGGAACCAAGAGAGGGGGGTCTGGGGTGACGATTCCTGGGGTCAGAACTCAGAGCCTGGGAGACGGGTGGCTAACCTTCAGCCGGAGAACCCAGCCTGAGGGGCAACCACCACGCCAGAGGGGGAGCAGTGAGGTGATGGTGACGTGAGCAGGCCGAATCCAAGGCTCCCCTAAGACATCCAGGTGGAGTGTCCTGCAGGGAATGGAGTTGGGAGAAGGGGTGACAGGTATGGAAGTCACAAGATAGGGCCCAGACTTGAACGCCAGGGAACCCGCCCAGCTCGGGGTCTTTGACCTGTTCCGGGGGAGCCTGGGGTGCAGGGGTGGGGAACAGAGAGAGAGAGGGAAAGAGAATGGCAGGGAAGGGACGCTCTTGGAACTGCTTCCCCTCTGTGGGGTGAGAGGGGGTCTTGACAAAGGGCGAAGGGACCAGCTCTCCTTGCACTTGGTTTAAACCCCTGAGACGGCCGGAGGAGCAGCGTTGGTGCCCAAGTGCAGCCTCTTTGCCAAGGCACCTGGACTCTTTCCCTTGGGAAGGTCCTGAGTGTCTCGTCCTGGCCCCTTCTTGCTTCCACTAGCATGAGCCCTGAATTCTGGTGTTAACTGTGGGTCAGGCTGCCAGGTAAGCAGCAGAAGGGTCTGTGCAGGGGGTGAGTCTGGGGGCACAGGCTCCAACCTGCTGGTCGTCTTCTCTGTTAGTAGACGGGAGGCCAGACCTTGGTAGGCGGGACCAGTGTGCCCAATGAGTGAGTGACTGATGTGCTGGCCAACAGAACACGCCCAAGCCTACAAACCCGGCAATAGAAGGGATGTTAAGGACCGCCAGTCCTAGGCTCTCTGCTCTCTACCCCAGGCCAGAAAGGAGCAAGAGGGAAGAGACCTGGAGTTGATTTTATCTTTCCAAAAGCCTCAAAAAAAAAAAAAACCCAGAACATTTATCTGAGTGAAGGCTACACAGGCTTAACTAAAATGTCAAGTTTCTTTGCTGGAATTATAGCGGGGAACATGCTAGATGTACAATTATTTGGTCATTACTAATTCGGAAACCTGTTTTATGTGAAACAAAACCGGGGCGTGCTGCTCAGAAGCTCTGGTCGGTTTTGTTCTCTACGAAGTCGGCTTCTGAATTAATCATTACTGAATAAATGTAATTTGATAGCCCTCAACTTTGAAAACATGGCCTCTGTGCGCTTGTGTGTTTGCGTGGGCCGAGACACTCAAAAGTTCAGAGGCTCTCATTTTGCAAATGAGAGAACTGAGGGGCAGGAGCGACTGCCCACCTTCGGGTCACATCATGGGGCCACATCATGTGGGGGGGTCCCCACAGCGGGGGGGGCCAGGCCCCCCAGGTTCCTGAGCCATCCGTCACCCTGGGCTCTCCTTGGCGCTCTGCTGCTGGGAGTTTGCTGGGAGTGCAGCAGGTGGGAGGATGGAAAGCTCTAACCAATTCTGTCCCTCCAGGCCAGGGCCAGCAGCTGCCTAGGAGATAAGGAAGGGGGACCCTTGGGAATTAACAGCCTGTGGATTAGAGAGATTGAGGGAGGCAGAAAAACAGGTGCAGGTGACAACAGGGATGGGGGAGGGGAGACAAAGACAGAGAGGCAGAGACAGGGACAGAACTGGACAGAGTGGCAGAGGTGGGGCTCCCGAGACCCCAGAGGACCCCGTGTGGCCCAAAAGGCCAGATGTGGTCTCAGGCCCACCCTCTCTGGGATCCCACTGAGGGTTGGCTGGGTCCCCAAGGGCCCTGGACTGCAGATGGGAAGGGTCCGAAGGGAGCGCCTCGGCCTCGGCTCCTCTGGTCTCAGACACTGGGCAAAGGCGAGGTGCACACCTGGGGGTCAGGGTTGCACTCTGACAAACCAGCAGCAGCAGCAGCAGCAGCAGCCTCTCCGTGGGCCACCATTTACAGGGACAGACAGTCCCTTTGTATCACAGGCCCTGCCCAGGAGAGCTCTGCTTGGAAGCCACCCTCTGAAAAATTCCTCCCCCCAGTGAGAGACTGGGAACCTAGTCTGGTGTGGGGGAAAGAGCACTGGGCTAAGAGTCCAAGGTCCCATTCGAAGCCCATGCCTTGTCCTGTCACCGACTCCCTGGCTCTCTCTGGGGCTATTAAACCATCCCCAGGCTCAGTCAAGGTCTCCGTGCGGCTCCAGGTAACTTGACCCAGAGCTTGTTTGGGGAACTGGGTGGGTGCTGGGGTGTTGCTTCCCTCCCCTGCAAGCTTGTTCTGTGGGCAGAAGCCACTGTCTATTTCCCGCCTCTGCCCCCGGGGGGGGGGGGGGCTGTCCCGAGCCCCTGGGTCCTGCGCTTGCGCAGCAAGCGGCACCTACATGAGGGATGGCTGGGCGCCCTGCCCGGAGCTGAGGCAGAGCTGCCCAGGGACTGCGCCCAGGCCTTCCTGTTCAGCCAGAAATTCCAGCCTTTTCAGGATCGAGGGCCAGAGGCAGGGGGCCTTTTCCAGGCCGCTGGGGAGCCGTTTTTCCAGCTCGGCAGTATCACTGGGCCTTTCGGAGGCTTCCCAAGTCCTTGACTGGCTTTCCCCGAAAGGTGCTGGGTCCCAGGGGGTGCCGGCTGTCCTGCGGCCACCTCTGACAAGACAGAGGCTCCGGCACACCCAACCAGGCCCTTGGAAGGGAATTGTTTTTTTAAATCAACTTTATCGAGGTCTTTATTTATATACAGCCAAATGTACCCATTTGAGATGTACTATTTAATGAGCTATAAATGCGTATGTATCTACCACAATAAACATAGAACATTCCCATCGCCCCCAAAGGCTCCGTCTGGGCCTCCTTCTCAGCCAATGCCCACCCCTCCCCCGCCACAGGCAGCCTCTGATCCACCTTCTGTCCCCAGCAATTAGATTTACCTGTTTCATGTGTTGCCGTACAAGTGTGTACTCTTGCGTCCGACTTTCCTCACTCAGCGTATGAATCTCAGGTCCCAGCCCTGTCACCCTGTCTCCGGGCGTCTGTTCCTTTGTGCTGCTGAGTAAGTGGGGTGGATCAGTGACTGCTTGCCCGGTCCCTGAGTTTGGGCATCGGGCTGTGTCCAGTCTGCAGCTCCTATGAATAAAGCTGCTATGGACACGGCGTGTGTCTTTGTGTGCACGGACGGCCTCGTTTCTCCCGCCTCAGCACCGGGAGTGGGCTCTCTGGGTTCTATGATGAGCGTGTGTTGCGCTCTTTAAGAACTGTTTCCCAGAATGGTTGCACCGTTTCACACTGTACGGGCAGGAAGGAACTGTGAATGCAGCCCTTCCTGTCCTACGTCTGGGCCTTTTCCCTTCCCCAGGGACTGAGCAGGTTTTGTAAGGCGGTTTGGTGCTTCGGAGGGAAGGAAGCCTCGCCAGAGAAGGCTTCCTGCGCGCCCCACCCCCATGCCCCACCCCCAGTGGCTGCTTCTGGTTAAGATTAAAGTGGCTGTGCTGGGTAGAGCAGAGCTTAAGGATCTATTTATACCTGAGTTGAAGCAGATGCATTGTTGGCTAAAACACTGTAATTATTTTCCTTTTGCTCGTTCTTACCATCCTGTGAGAGTGTCTTTAAACAGAGCTACTGCCACTCCGGAGTCCCACCCTGCCTCCCCCCCCGCCTACCCTCTGCACCTATCCCCCTGCCCAGCCCAGGGTAAAACCGGCTGGGCCTGGGGCAGTGGACGCTTCTGTTCTAAGTCCTGCCTTCGCCCCAGCGCACGCCGACACCTGAGCAGGCCGTGTGTGCAGCCACAGAACTGTGCTGTTTTGCTGCCAGGGTCCCAGCCCAGCTCCCCGCCGCATGCATCCACTCTGTCGCCAGTCATCACACAGTGCCGGGACCCCCTAACAACTCCAAAGGGTGCTGCGGCCCAGAGAGAAAGGACGAAGCTTGCCTTTTGTGTTGAGATAGCTCACTAATTGCCCAGACATGGGAAAGTACACAGGGAAGGATTTTCCACTGGAGCAAGATTAAAAAAAAAAAAACCAGGAGCCTGGTGCATCTGCCCAGCTGGTCCTATCCTAGCCAGTCCTGCCCCTGTTCTGAAGTTTGGGGGTGGGACCGACCCCTGCCTCCTTCGGGATAAATTCAGTCTTCTTCATTGTAAGACTCTTGGGCTGTCGTTGCTCTCAGATAGCAGGGCACCTAAGAAACTGTCCCCCCCTGCTTGGGAAAATACCGCCACCCAGCCCGGGAATAGCTCACTTCACCGATTTCACATGCCGATTCCTCAGAAAGCATTTCTTGTCGCGATCCTGCCAATGCCCGCATGGTCTGAGTGAGTCCACAGCTAACATGGCCTTCACTAGGATGATGAACCTGCACTGTGGCTCCACTTTAAGCTATCCAAATAGCATTTAGCCCCTTCTCGTTATTCCTGTTAGTATCCACTTAATTCAAAGATTGCAGTATAGCTGTGAAGTGTTGAATTTGGTACAGGAAGGTGTCTCTTTAGGTTAACATTTATTCTAAATTGCCTTACTCCAAACCTGTGCTGTGCAAGATGGTATCCACTAGCCACATGTGGCGATTTATTTATTTAAGATTTTATTTATTTATTTTTAGACAGAGGGGAGGGGAGGGAGAAGGAGAGGGAGAGGAATGTCAGTGTGTGGGTTGCCTCTTGCACACCCGGCACCGGGGAACCTGGCCCACAATCCAGGCATGCGCCCTGACTGGGAATTGAACCAGTGTCCTTTGGTTTGCAGGCTGGTGTTCCATCCACTGAGCGACACCAGCCTGGGCAATACGTGTGGCTATTTAAATATAAAAGAAATAAGTGAAATAAATGTGAGATTTTAGCTCCTTGCTTGCACCAGCCACATTTGAAGTGATCCACAGCCACACGTGGCTTAGCAGCTGCCACGGCGGACAGTGCAGAACTGGGAGGCTTCCTGTGCCACGGAGCGTCCTGTCGGGCAGTGCTGGTGTGAACACTCAGCCAGGCGTGGCGCAGCGCCTCTCCCACCGAGCGTTTTCTGCAGATGGCCCTTGGATGGCCCTTAAAAAAAGCTCAAAGATACGGTTCCTGCTCAAAATGATCTGCAATTCTAGAATGGCACAATGATGCTCAAGATTGAAGATAGTAGAGGACAGATATTAGACCAAGCAAAGATGGGCATGTGAGGGTAGACAGTGGGCGCGGAGAGAAGGGGGCAGACCTGAGGGGCTTCAGGGTCCAGCCCGGATGGAACGCGTGGGAAGGAATGTACGCACTGCCCAGGAAGGTTTCACGTAGAAGCAGTGACTTCTGGGATGGACATGGCGCTGTGGGCTCTAAATTTAAAAGGCTCCTTGGCCCTGGCTGGGTGGATCAGCTGGTTGGAGTATCGTCCTGATATTCCAAGGGGGTGGGTTTGATTCCCGGTCAGGGCATGTGCAAATGAGAATCAACCAATGAATGCATGAATGGGTGGAACAACAAGTCAATATTTCTCTCTATCTCCCTTCCTTTCTTTCTAAAATCAAATTTTAAAAAATTGTTTTTTAAATGCTCCTACCATTAATACCCAGAGCTAATTGGTCCCTAGAAGGTCAAGGTTTATAAGCTTGATTCCTTCCAAACAATGAAGTGTGAGGATTCCCTGAGACCTCAGCTTCTCCTTTGAGCCCGTGAAGCAGCAAGACTATTTCTAGAAAATGGGTTCTCCAGGGAGGGTGCTCCGGAGGGGTCGGGGCAGGGCCCTGAGATCATCACAGCACAGAAGGCACTGTTTGGTCACCCAGACTCTCCACTTGGCTTTATTTATAACCCTAATTGCACGCTCCAGGAAGAACAATTGCCGATCAACCCAGTTACGAATTAAAGTTAATACAACAAACAGACAGCAACAAATGATCGATGCAAAGCTGCCAAGGGGTAAGGATCACGGGCCGCAGCTGCCCACTCTCCTCCTGAGGCCCCTCCCTTCCTCGGGCGCCTCCCTTCGCTCCAGGGCTCAGTGACCTGCTATCTCCCATCAGGGGCTGTCAGGCTCCACACTCCGTAGGTGGTGGGCAGGGGTGCCCCATGCAGCCTTCCCGCCCTCCTCCTCGGCCTTTCCAAGGAGCCGTTGTGTGGAACGAGGCTGCTGCGAACAGAGCTGCAGGAAGCACAGACGGGAAACTGAGCCTTGACTTCCATCCTCCCTCCCCAGTCTCTTGTCTTTCCTGTGCACCAGGTCTCCCATTTCCCATTATCTTCTTCTCTGCCCAGCTCCTTTCCCCTGTGGCTGACCTGGTGTGCATGCCCTGTCCTGAGCGGGGCCCTGAATTCTGTGGGTGTCCAACTGATCCAGCAGGCACTGCCTGCTTTGCTCAGCAGCACGAACAGCTTAAACACAGCCTCCAGCTTTGCTGACCCGGTTCATTCCTTTGTCTTTGTAAAGAGAGGCAACTGGAGAGGGAGAGTGGCGGGTGGGCAGCCCTCTCCTCCCAGGCCCTGCTGTTGGTGCTTTGGGCTCCTCTCTGGCTGCCTCCCTCTGTCTCCTGCAACTTGCTTCTTGCTGAAACAACCAGGAAGAATAAACCTTCATTCCTGGCAATCCGCAGCACACCTAGGTGAATGGGTGTGGCTTATGTGGGAGGCCAGCCCCTTCTCTGCAGTGTGTGGGAAAGGCACCCCTGACCCTTTTGGGGCAGCCTCCAGAGCCCATGCAGCGTGTGTGTGTGTGTGTGTGTGTGTGTGTGTGTGTGTGTGTGCCAGCCCATTAGGGGAAATAGCAGTCCCCCCGCCCCCACCCCGGGTTTGCAGCAATCGTCCTGCACGTTCTGGCTTGTCCTGGCCTCCCACCTGCCCAACTCCGAACTCTGGGCCCTGCCTCCCGAGCCCCGGCCCTTCGGACCAGGGGTTTCTATTCTGTCCTAGTGGCGTTTCCTGGACAGGCACTGACATGGTTAAAACCCTGGGACGCCCAGTTCCTGCCATGTTTTAATAGGATCTGTGCCCTGGCTCCGGCCCTGCCAACCCCAAATAGGCACACCAGACTCGCGGCCTCTGCCCCGGGGAAGACAACTGGACAACCCGAGGGAAGGGGAGATAGAGTGACCATCAAAAGGGTGGAGAGGAGATGAGTGCTGCTTCGACTCTGACATCACCCTCAGATGCCAGGGACTGGGCTCTGTGGGTGGCCCGCGTAGGTCTTTGTATTGTAATTGTCTGTTTCCTTGTCTGCCTCACCCACTGGACTGTGGGCTTTGCAAGGGCAGGCCCGTGTCTGACTGGGGGCTGGGTGCCCTCTACCCGGTGAGTGCCAGTCCACTTACCCAAGGCCCGAGTGGGAAGCTTTAGGGTCCTCAAGTTCTGTCGACTCTACTTCTTAAAATACTTCTCCAACCAATGGCTTCTTAGGGGGAATGTTTGTTTTTGTCTGGTTAATTCCAAACAGGAATTGGTTGACTGATTTCTTGGCTTCCCTTGTTTAACTGTCTCTCTATCTATCTCTCCATCTTCCTCATTGCTCACAGGCATAACTCAAATCTAATCCTGCCACTACTTTGTTAAAATATGTTCAATAACTCTCCATTTCTCACAAAATAAAGTACAATTCCCTTAGACTCTCCACAATTTGGCTCAACCTACTCTTCCAGCCTATTGCTTGTCGCGTTTCCCTGTGGACCTCATGAGCCAGTCCCTTGGAACGTCTCACTGTTGTTCAAGCAAGTTCTTCTTTTTCTGCCTCCATGTTTTGCATCTTCTCTTCTCTCTTCAAAAGTTACCCTCCACTACAAACCCAGCCTTTCCAATCTATTGAACTCATACTAGTCCTTTAAGACCCAGCTGAAATGTCTCCTCCTCCATGATGTCATCAACTAGCCATCAAACATCCTTTTCTTGTGTGTCATTTCATCTTGCACGTGTCTCCAGCACACTGGAGGATCACAGAGTATTGCAGTTTTTGTGTCTTTTGTATGAGCAATAAGCTCCCCAAGAGCAGAGCCTGTGTCCTACTTTTACGTACGGAAAGCTGGCAGGGAGCCGTGTGCAGGGAGGTGGGGGTATGCCATAGGCTGTGTGGCCTTGGACACAGCAAGTTCCTTGCCCTCTCTGTCTCTCAGTTTACTCATTCATAAATCTGTCATAATAATAGTTCCTGCCTGTGGGAATCCTCAACAATGAGGATTTAACGAGTTACTACTTCTAAAGCGTGTGGAGCTGTGCCTCTCACAGAGTAAGCTCTGGGTAAGTGTTAGCTACTATTATTAACTCTGATTATTAGACCCTCCATAAATGTTTTTTGAATGAATGAGTGAACAAGAGCCTATGGAGTCTAACAAGACAGTTTTCCACCCGTAAAGGACTTTCAGTGTCAGAGTCCTTCAGTTATGACATCAAAGACAGGTCAAGGTACCCACTATG